ACAGTTGACAGAATTGTCACTTGCCTAATCGGGTCATTGTTGCATCGTCAGAAAATTCTTTATTATTTATTTGTACGTCTTTTTAAGCCATTTGGTACTCGCGCGCTCCAGAGGTGGTGCGCAGTCACATCCAAAGTGCGCTCGTGACTGTCAGGGATTTGCGTCAATCTGTGCTGCATCCAGTGTAGACAGAATATTATAATGGGTTCTGTTGTCTATAGTGACGTTGTAAAAAAGTAAAAGTAAAAAGGCAGGTGCCTTTATAGACCGTAAAACTAAACATTGATGCAGCACTGAGTCTGACTAGAGCGGATCCGACAGTAATGTCGCACACAGCACATAAGTGTGAGTAAACCTGCTTTTTCCACTATTGCATTGTCTGTTCCAGACCGTTTGACTAACTCCAATGTAACCTCATAAGCGAGTGATTTGTGTGTGTGTTATAGAAATAGAAACACAGCCTGTGTGACAATACAGGTGTCATTCTACAGTATTCATCGTTTTGCCGTTGTTCAGTGACAAGTGAATGACAAACAGTAAAGGAGTTGAGTAGGTTTTGCTTGGAGTTTTCTTCTTGTTACACTCTAGCAAGATCTGAATTTCAGTGTGATTTATAAGTAATTATTGCTGCTAAAAGAACCCCAAAATCTTATATTGCTGTGATTCAGCAGGTCAAGAAATCTTTCAAATAAGAAATGAACATAATATATTGGGCATTATAATTGTAGTAAATATAATTGATTCATAATTGCTGTTTTGAAAGTTTTACTATTAAGCATATTTTACTGAACTGTCTTGCTATTAGATATTACATATTAGACAACCCTACCATTAGACAACGATTGTATTCAGAAATGTCATTTATTGATGTGTTTTTATAAAGGTTTCAAAATTAAAAAATGTAATCAAATATTACTTTTTTTTTTTTGATTTCACGAATATAGCTTTTGCTGATATGGCATTAAAATAATAACAAACTAAAAATATTAAATCAAAAGATTTTATATAGTTGATTTTCTAATGTTATAAGAAGTATATTTTTTATTTTACTTTCATATTATTTTATTGTATATATTGTTATAGCCTTTGCTGATATAGCATGAGAACAGTAATAAACTATATACGTGTATATATATATATATACACACACAGTTTCTCACAGAAGTGAGTACACCCCTCACATTTTTGTAAATATTTTATTATATCTTTTCATGCGAAAACACTGAGCAAATGACACTTTGCTGCAATGTAAAGTAGTGAGTGTACAGCTTGTATAACAGTGTAAATTTGCTGTCCCCTCAAAATAACTCGACACACAGCCATTAATGTCTAAACCGCTGGCCACAAAAGTGAGTACACCCTTAAGTGAAAATTTCCAAATGGGCCCAATTAGCCATTTTCTCTCCCCGGTGTCATGTGACTCATTAGTGTTACACACAATTTACAAGCATAGATAAAATAAACGGTAGGATTCAGATACAGAAATTTAATAATTAGGTGTAAAATAACACTGCATAGTGTTCACTGTATGAATTAAATTTAGATTAATCTTTGTTATAGCTGTTTTGTTGTTTGATTAACATTAGTGACATATTCAGCAGCACGCATTTATAGGCTGCTGTCCCTTTAAATCCGACTCCACAGATCCAGTATAATGATACACATCCGATTTCTTTCTCAGCTGTTTACATTCATTTAAAACATGACTGCGTTTATGAGGATGATCATCGAGACGGGTACTATTGACATAATTCTGTGTGTATGTGACTGTTCAAACAGAAGAAGGTGATGCGAAAGACGAATCAATTCGGTGTTTGTGCGCCATCTGAAACGTGTGTGTGTGTGTGTGTGTGTGCATTGCATGTGTGCGGCAGAACGGAAGATACACTGTGTGAGATGCAGCTTGTGCGCGCGCTTCAGGTGTGAGTCAGACAGCAAGAAGAGACGGTAAAGAGTCGTTTTCTGCAACTTATTGCACTTAACTCTTTGTAACGTCAAGCTATTCTCTGCTATATGGGTCGAACTAAAACTTTGACCTTTTGCACCGTTTTGATTTAAGTAGCCTATTATTAAAATGATTCAGATATCGCACGCCCTTGCGATATGCATATCGCGATATTTACATTTGCGATATTTCGATATATCGTGCAGCCTTAATATATATTAGTGCTGTCAAACGATTCAGCACATCCAAAATAAAAGCTTTTGTTTATATGTGTGTACTGTGTATATTTATTATATATATAGAAATACACAAACATATAGTACGTTTATATATTAAAATATTGAATATGTAAACATAATAAATTATTTATAAATGTAATAAATGTTTATATATTAAAAATATTTACATGCGTGTATATACGGTGTGTATGTATGTGTATATATATGTATATATATAGCTTTTGCAGATATAACTATAAAATTAAAACTATAATAATAATAGAAATAAAAATATAAAAAACAGACTGGTTTTGTATAGTTAATTTGTAATATTGTAAGTAGCTTCATTGTATATTGTTTAAAATATATATATATTTTATAGTATGTTGTTCCATGAATATAGCTCTTTAATGCTGAATGGTACTAAAAGAAAAATGGCTGCATCATTTTTTATGTTGCTACTTGTACCTCTGAAGTGTATTCATGTATATTTGATGCAGTTGCTGTGGTAGTGAACTCTCTGCAGTGCTCTTTTTGGTGTTGTTCTTCAGTGCATTAACCGTTGTGTGTGTGTGTGTGTGTGCGCAGGTTTGACGGCCAGTGCGATGGCTGCTCTGATTCTCATGACCACCTCCATCGCATCAGTGATGGGCTCCCTCTACCTGGGCTACATCCTCTACTTCGTCCTTAAGGACTTCTGCTTCATCTGCGTCACCACATACGCACTGAACTTCATCTTGTTTGTGCTCAACTACAAGCGACTGGTTTACTTGAACGAGGCCTGGAAGCAGCAGCTCCAAGCCAAGCAGGACTAGACACACAAAAACAACGATGACAAAAGTATAGAAGGATAACAAATCATCCAACACGTGGGGAAAATGTGACCTCTGAAAAATGTGTGACTTGCCACCAGGAGACCTTGCTTCCAAACAAATGTTCATTCTGTTGTGTGTGTGTGTGTGTGTGTGTGTGTGTGTGTGTTTAAAACGAAAAAAAAAAAAAATTATCTTTAGGGGCCACAGATCACAGGTTCATTGCATTGCAAGGAAGGATTGGAAAACAGAAACCCAAATCTTTGTCCGCTTTGATTTCTCGTTGGTTTTCTTTGTTCCCTGAGATGAGAGAGAGAGCGAGAGAGAGCGGTCGGAAAGCACTTACGAAACAAACAGGAGAGGGTGTCCTTTCCCTGAGGAATAAATAATGGAGAAAACAATGTGAGAAATTCTGTTTACTTGAATCCACTGGGAATGTCGTTGCTCTTTGGGAGCAGCTGATTCCAGCGGGACGGAATTTAAGGGTTATAAAGGGTAAACACGAATGATCATGAGGCTAATGTACCGCTCGCAGAGATGATTCCACAAAAACGACGGATTACTATTGAAAACAAAGTGTAATTTTTTTTATGTTTACAGATTTTTTTTGTTTTTTTTTTATTGTTTTGGAAGAGGACCACTCATAAAACATGGAAGAATGTGAGCTGTATGTGTGTAGATCAGATTTGTCTGTGACTACTTTTTTTTTTTTTATTCGTTTGTTTTGCAGTTCTGTAAATAGCTGCCGCAAAGCAATATTCCAGACTAGTTTGTGTTTTACCGTTGAAACATTAAAAAGTCCCAATCTACGGCATGTCCTTCACTTCCAATGAGTGCTTTCAACAGCGATTGTGCGGGTTATTCTTTGTGCAAGTGTTTTAGCGTCTTACTCATCCTAAGGGAGTCTTGATCCAGATTAAACGCTGCATTTGTTGTGTTGGAATTACTGTAATTGAGATGAAGTTGTAATGTTGTTAGACTCAAAAATGATTTATTTCGCCGTCAGCGCTCATAACACCAAATCGGGTTTGGTCTTAAGGGAAATACTAAGCGAAAAATTTAAATTGCTCACCTTCAGGCCATCCAGGATGTAGATGAGTTTGTTTCTTCATCAGATTTGTAGAAATGTAGCATTGCATCAGTGTCTCAGCAATGGATGCTCTGCAGTGAATGGGTGGCGTCAGAATGAGAGTCCAAACAGCTGATAAACACATCACGATAATCCACAGCACTCCAGTCCATCAGTTAACATCTGGAGAAGACAAAAGCTTGTGGATTATTGTGAAGTTTTATCAGCTCTTTGACGGCACCCATTCACTGCAGAGGATCCACTGCTGAGCAAGTGATGGAATGCTACATATGTGTATATATATGTATATATATAGCTTTTGCAGATATAACTATAAAATTAAAACTATAATAATAATAGAAATAAAAATATAAAAAACAGACTGGTTTTGTATAGTTAATTTGTAATATTGTAAGTAGCTTCATTGTATATTGTATAAAAAGTATATATATTTTATAGTATGTTGTTCCATGAATATAGCTCTTTAATGCTGAATGGTACTAAAAGAAAAATGGCTGCATCATTTTTTATGTTGCTACTTGTACCTCTGAAGTGTATTCATGTATATTTGATGCAGTTGCTGTGGTAGTGAACTCTCTGCAGTGCTCTTTTTGGTGTTGTTCTTCAGTGCATTAACCGTTGTGTGTGTGTGTGTGTGTGCGCAGGTTTGACGGCCAGTGCGATGGCTGCTCTGATTCTCATGACCACCTCCATCGCATCAGTGATGGGCTCGCTCTACCTGGGCTACATCCTCTACTTAGTCCTTAAGGACTTCTGCTTCATCTGCGTCACCACATACGCACTGAACTTCATCTTGTTTGTGCTCAACTACAAGCGACTGGTTTACTTGAACGAGGCCTGGAAGCAGCAGCTCCAAGCCAAGCAGGACTAGACACACAAAAACAACGATGACAAAAGTATAGAAGGATAACAAATCATCCAACACGTGGGGAAAATGTGACCTCTGAAAAATGTGTGACTTGCCACCAGGAGACCTTGCTTCCAAACAAATGTTCATTCTGTTGTGTGTGTGTGTGTGTGTGTAAAACGAAACAAAAAAAACGAAAAAAAAAAAATTATCTTTAGGGGCCACAGATCACAGGTTCATTGCATTGCAAGGAAGGATTGGAAAACAGAAACCCAAATCTTTGTCCGCTTTGATTTCTCGTTGGTTTTCTTTGTTCCCTGAGATGAGAGAGAGAGCGAGAGAGAGCGGTCGGAAAGCACTTACGAAACAAACAGGAGAGGGTGTCCTTTCCCTGAGGAATAAATAATGGAGAAAACAATGTGAGAAATTCTGTTTACTTGAATCCACTGGGAATGTCGTTGCTCTTTGGGAGCAGCTGATTCCAGCGGGACTGAATTTAAGGGTTATAAAGGGTAAACGCGAATGATCATGAGGCTAAGCAGAGATGATTCCACAAAAATGACGGATTGCTATCATTGAAACGACAAATAAAGTGTAATTGTTTGTTTACAGATTTTTATTTTATTTTTATTGTTGTTTTGGAAGAGGACCACTCATAAAACAAGGACGAATGTGAGCTGTATGTGTGTAGATCAGATTGGTTTGTGACTACTTTTTTTATTCGTTTGTTTTGCAGTTCTGTAAATAGCTGCCGCAAAGCAATATTCCAGACTAGTTTGTGTTTTGCCGTTGAAACATTAAAAAGTCCCAATCTATGGCATGTACGTCACTTCCAGTGAGTGCTTTTAACAGGGATTGTGCGGGTTATTCTTTGTGCAAGTGTTCTAGCATTTTACTCATCTTAATGGGGTCTTGATCCAGGATAAATGTTGCATTTGTCGTGTTGGAATTACTGTAGTTGAGATGATTGAGACTTGAGAATTTTTTTCTCCGCCAGCGCTTGTTGTAACACCTGTTTTTAAAGGATTACTTCACAAAAAATGAAAATGTGTTGAAAACCTACTCACCCTCAGGCCATCCAAGATTAGGATGAGTTTGTTTCTTCATCAGATTTG